TTGTAGGTTCAGGAAACAGTCCTCCGTTAAATGCGTTGCACACACACGAATATTTGGTTTGAAGTGTTCTGGAACAGTGTTGTAAATACAACTTAACCACTGATTTCTAGTTGTGCCCTCTTTTGGAAGACCAAACAAAAGTATTTTCCCTTTCGCAACGAAACACACAGCGTCTCCACGACATGGCGGCAACAATACAGCGAGAATAAAAGTTACTCCTCCTTTCTTTGCGTTAACATTTGGGCGGTGTTATGCAAATTGTCCCACACAGTGACATAGACATGTGGGGGCGTGTTTAAACGAGGTGTTTTAGGAGGGCGTGGACGAGTCTTAACTTTTATAAAGAATATCTCTTTGGGTTTGAGACTTTAGTCTTTGCAACTTCAGGGATCTTATCTATGCACGAACAGCTTGTAACACTCCAAAGAGAAAGGAAAACTTGAAATTGCATCATTTGACCCCTTTAATTTCCTTTGAATTTAAATTTGGACGAATCTCATGGAGAAATCTGCATATTTCAAAATTAATTATTTTTTGCATTAAATAAATTCAGTAAATGAAAACTATTTTAACACTATTTAGCATTGTGACATTATTTTTATGAATAATGACAAAATCATTGAGTATATAAATATTAATTGAGAGTATAAGAGAAAATAAAAATTCAGTCATTAAAATAATGTCACAAATGCACAAATCATGGTGGTCCTAAAATAATCTTTTTTTTTTTTTTAAATACAAAATATGTTTCTTATTTTTTCCATTTGACTTTGGAAAGAATCCTCAGATTCAGTTTTCTGGGCCCAGTTGTATAAAATACTTAGACTAGTTTTATTAATTAGTCATCTCATTTTTTCTTTGAGACTACTCATAAAAAAACAGGTATTTAAAATGTACATCAGTCTAATTTGAATCTGAAAAGCATGACTGACTTTACTAACTGCAAATTGGTTAGACTTGTTCTTAAAGCGGTCATATGATGCGATTTAAATTTTTCCTTTCTCTTTGAAGTGTTACAAGCTCTTGGTGTATAAAGAAGATCTGTAAAGTTGCAAAGACTAAAGTCTCAAATCCAAAGAGATATTCTTTATAAAAGTTAAGAGTCAAGCACGCCTACCTAAAACGGCTCGTTCTAACACGCCCCCACATGTCTACATCACTGTGTGGGAAGATTTGCATAACGCCGCCCAAATGTTCACGCAAAGAAAGAAGGCGTAGCTTTTATTCTCGCTGTAGTATTGTTGTTGCCGCCACCGCCATGTCGTGAAGGCGCTGTTTCTCGTGAAAGCGAAACTACTTTGGTTGGCCTTCCAAAAGAGGACGATATCCGCTTTGTCATGCCTGGAGCTGATCCGTGCTGGTCGCTGAGGAAATACATCAACTT